TTGACGAGGGACTATTTGGGCCTGTGCTGAACACTTGGTGTTGACGACATTCCCATCTTCCCTTCTTCTTCGTCTAACCCCACCTCCTTCGTCTATGTATGGTTGGGGCTGGCGCAGTCTTCTTGTGTGAAGCGCCAGACCCCTTCACACCATCATGATGATGATGTATGTTTGGGGCTGCATTACAATATTGATTGTTCAGATCATTGGTATCTAAGTCTTCCGCTGTGCTATCTTATACTTTGTATTGAAAGGTCGGTTCTTGTTCTGGTCTGCACCTATACGGTATGCAACATTCCCCCTGCCAATAGGCTTGGGAACAGGCAAGTCTCTATGTTCCAAGATGTCGTTGAGTCCACGTGGCCATCCACGGTTGGGGGCAGCATTGATCTCCTTGATGGGAATTGATCTGTCTCAGCGAAAGGTGCCAGCTTGGAAGCATGGAATACAGGGTAAGCGCCCAAATGACCAGGGATTCTGATGACGTACGAGGGACCATCCATGTCACAACCCACAATATATAGGACTTCCTAAGGATCGAAAAACTGAGGCATTAGTTTCCTAGAGATTCTGAATTCCTGACCCAGTTCGCTAGCCTTTACCTAGACACATTCCCCTACCTCAAATGTAGACGTCTACGTTTGTTCTCAAAGGCAATCATAGCCTGCTGAGACTTTCTGATGTACTCAACAGCCTGCTGCAACAACTTTTGGTAATGGACACCAAACTCTATGGTTCCAGGCGTCGCTGCTGGTCGGTTTTCAGGAAGGAGGAAGTCTAGTGTTGATCTAGGCTTCCATCCCAAATGCAGTTCATTTGGAGAGACGCCCGTGGTGCTGTGAACAGCATTGTTGTACAGACTGGCGATGAGAGGCAACTTCTCATCGCAATCATCCTGGTTGGGCTTAATGTAATGCCTCAGCAGGTGCTGCACCACGCGGTTCATCTGTTCCGCTTTACTGTTGGCTTCAGGATGATTCCCGGAGGTCATCTGAAGTTGGCTGCCCATTTGTTCAGCAGCCTTCTTCCACAGTTCGGTCGTGAATCAGACATCTCTGTCACTAACTATAGACTTGGCCAGTCCAAAATCACGCACCTAGTTATTCATGAATAACTTGATGACGTGTTCAGTCCTTGCAGTCTCAGGCATGGCTATTAGTCTCGCATATTTAGTGAATCTGTCTACTATGAAGAAAATATGCCTCTTTCCACTCTTGTTGGTCACGAGGGTATCCATGAAATCCACGGAGACACTCTGTCTCGGACCTGCATGAATAGACAAGGGCTTGAGTAACCTAAGCAGTGCTTGAGTACGCGGCTTGTCTCGCTGACAGACTTGACAAGTCTGTACGCACTTCTTTGCATCGTCAAGCATGCTAGGCCACCAAAATCGCTGAACTAAATTAGCCCTAGTCTTCTTATATCCAAAGTGACCTGTCACATCATGATGCTCACCTAGAAATAAATACGCAAAATCTCGCTAGACGACACACATAGTCTTTTGAACCCTGCCTTTTCAAGTTCCAAGGAAGAGTAATCCGTCCACCATCACAAACTTGTCAGATGTCGCTTTGTCTTTCGCATCTAGTTTGTGTATGATGTCCATCATGAGGGATCTTCCTTGTAGGCATCCACCAATGATCGAGTTACATTGTCAGATAGGCCAAACTCAGTAATCAGCGCACCTAGGTAGTCTGCCCTACGGGATAGCGCATCAACAACCTTGTTGTAGTCCCCTTTCACGTAATCCAGCTTGAAGTCATATTGATCTATGACTCCAATCCAGCGTTTGAGTGCGTTGGAGAGAACAGGCTGCGTCTTAATCCACTTGAGTGTCTGTTGGTCAATTCTCAAATAAAAGAACCTTTCCAACAGACAGTGTCTCTAGTGGACAAGAATCTTGTAAAGGGCATAGAGTTCCCTTTCATAGGCAGACCTCGCCAATTTCTTTGGAGACTCGATTGGCCTCAACTTCTTCCCTTCCTGCTGGGCCAGCACTGCGCCTATGTCGTATTGGCTTGCATCAGTGGTCACGACGAATGGCCTCTCCGGATCGAGGACCATGAGAATCTCATGATGCATGAGGGCGTGCTTCAATCTTTTGAAAGCAGCCTCACATTCGTTTGTCCATTCCCATGGTGTGTCAAGGCGTGTAAGATCAGTCAAGGGGGCGGCCACTGTACTACAATTCTTAACGAAATTGCGGTAGTAGCCACACATCCCTACATCAGTCACCGACTGGGGTCATGGCTAGTCACGAATGCTAGCCACCTTCGCATCTTTGGGCCTTATCCTTTCTACGGATATCTCATGACCCAAGTACAAGACTCTACGGATATCTCATGACCCAAGTACAAGACTCTACGGATATCTCATGACCCAAGTACAAGACTCTAGTGCGACCGAACTCACATTTCTCTAAGTTGATCTTATACTTGTGTTGTCGTAGGAGTGAAAGTACAGTTTCTACATGTTGGGCATGCTCCTCGACAATCCTACTGAAGATAAGAGTATCGTCGAGGTACACGACGATGAACTTATCCAAGTGGTCATGAAACACCCTATTCATGGCATGCTGGAATGTACCCGGCGCATTGCAAAGGCCAAAGGGCATTACCACAAACTCGTACAGACTGTACCTGGTCTGAAATGCAGTTTTGTGCTGGTCCTCTGGTCTAATGGCAATTTGATGGTAGCCGGACTATAAGTCTTTGTGAAGTATCAGTCTTTTGAGAGACTTGTGTGTTCTTGCGTTTGAACTGTTGATGGCCATATTCGCCGCGGTTGATACAAGCTTCACACGAGTACTGGTCCCTCCACACATCCTGATCCAGATCAGCCCTCACCTAAGCCGGACTCTTGTTTAAGTTCTACTTCAGCCCCTGACTCTTTTGCTGTCCACCCTTGTCGCGGCCAGCCGCCTTTCCTTTGGTCATGGCAGCGAGGTTGCCACCCTCTGCACTCTCCTCGCCACCTATCTCTGTTTCCTCCACAAGATTAGAGAGATCATCGATAGCGGTTTGATTCCCATAGGAATCAACCATCATTAATAGACTACGCTTCTTCTTCCCTTCTTGTGGGGGCTTCTTCTTCCTACCGTCCATAGCAGGTTGTTGTGCTTCTCCTAGCTTAGCCTCTAAATACAAGGCCTTCTTGCTAAAGGAGTCAATCGCTAACCATCAAGTTCATGATGTCTGTGGGAAGACATCTCAATACATGGTCAGCAAGACCTGTGGATCATAGCGGACACCAGGGATGACTATGAGTTTCTCCACGGCAGTGGTGAGCTCACCCGCAGACTTGTACCTTCTAGTATCAACCCGGGACAACGCATCAGTGCCCTGCCGGGCCTGCTGTGGGTTGTGCCATCGCGTTTCAACCAACGCCATTGCGTTTCAACCAACGCCATGAAACTCTCTAATGTGTGGGTCTTTGCCCAATCATTCATCCGCAAGCCGAATCCCTCAGATGCCACTATTCCATCAAGCCACCTTGCTGCCGATCGCTCAAGATATGAGGCGGCAGTGATCACCTCTTCTTCTAGCAACGTCCTCTTCGCCCTTACCCTTATTGGAACCGTCCTCAACCAAGTGTCGAGTGCCTCGTTCTTCTTGTCTCCAGAGAAGGTCTGAGGTGGTATCAATGGGGTTTTGGGGTACCAAGGCTGTTGTGGTTCCATTGGTGGGGCCGACTGTGGCCCTGTAGCTGCAGCAGTTGTTCTTGAGGATGAAGAAGCAGTAGTTTGTGCTGCTGCTGCTGACGTACCACTTGGTGGGATACCAAACTGAGGTAAAATGGGCTTGTCATCGCCGGAGGAGGGGATGGAAACGTTCCTTGCGGCCGGATACTGGGCCCACCAGGTATGGAGGGATGTGGTCCTCCTCTTGCCTGCATGGCATTCAGTATCCGGTCAAGTGTGTCCTGAATGTCATCCAGTTTGCTGTCCATGTAAGGCTTTGTAAGCATACATGGTCAGCAGACCCGCCTTGAGGATCTTACTAGTGTTGTCAAGAGTCAAGTCATCTAACCCTTCTATTGCAGCCTTGTCTGCCCTTCTGTTCTCTAATCTGGTTTTCCTATCTCTAATCTCTGTTTGTCTTTCGGTAGCTTCCCTAAGTTCCTTCTCTAACCGTAAGCGGATAAACTCCACCTGTTGGAGTTCTATGGCCTCTCGTGTGCGTGGAGGTGGAGAGCTGTACTGCGAGCCTGCCATCTGACTTGAAGAAGTGCCTGTACTCATCGCACTGGACGTAGCCTGCGAACTCGACGGCATGCCTAGTGTCTGCTGACCCTGAGAGGTAGCAGCAGAGGTTGACATCGCTCCGGCAGTACTTGCAACTGCCAGTGCCTGCTCCGCTGCTGCTGCTGCTTCCCTAGCCCGCTGCAAACATTCAGCCTCCGCCTCACGTCTTATAGCTCTTTCGCTCCTGGATGGTAAGGCCTGATGCACGATCGGTACCCTAAGAGACGTTATTCGTGTCACCCTCCTTCCTTCAGATCTATTCTCCCCACTACCTGGTCCACTCATCGGCTACGCAGATCACTGTCTGCACTAGTGCCCTCACAGGGGCCTACCACAACATGTGTCTAACAAAGTTGAAAAATAATTAAAAATAAATAAATATTCAGCAAGTCACCTAGGCTACGAATCAAGTGGTGTCAACAACATTTACACAGACTGAGCAGATGATCTATTCCTACTTTGATCGGTTCTCTTACAGCAGCATTACTGTTACGATCCTGGTCATTTCCAAATTGCAAATTCACAATGAAAGACAATGCCACCCAATTGCAAAAGAAATGAAAGCACTTGCAAAGAGATAGAGACCAGAGGAGAGAGAAAGAAGAAGAAGAAGAAGAAGAAGAAGAAGAAGAAGAAGAAGAAGAAGAAGTAGAAGAAGAAGAAGAAGAAGAAGATGTACACCAGCAAGACCAATGACAATTCCCCCTTTCTCTCTCCACCTTCCTCCTCCTCCTTCACTTCGCCAATCTTATTCTTCTCCCAACAATAATAATAACAATGAATGGATGAACCAGAATCAATATCCGAAGTTCCCTCTTACTGCTGACTCAACTCAACAACAACAACAACAACAACAAGAACAACAACAACAACAACAACAACAACAACAAGTCCACCATAGCTAAGGCTTCCCTCCTTCAGCCTCCTCTCTCATGCATAGGCTATGGCGGACTAATGAGGGCCCTGCCCTCCTGTCCAAAAGGCAACCCAAGCAGCCATGGTGCTGCGCTGATGTCCAAAGGACAACCCAAAGCAGCTATGGTGCTGCGCTGATGTCCAAAGGACAACCCAAAGCAGCTATGGTGCTGCGCTGATGTCCAAAGGACAACCCAAAGCAGCTATGCCGCTGCTGACTGGTCCGCCATGCCTGACTCTGCCTCGAGCTTCCTTGGTGCAGCACTACCCCAACTGGGGCTTTCCAGATGCAGCGCCCAACAAGGAGATGAAGATGGTGTCTACCATAGCCAGGTAAGTGCCTCGCCACTCTCCTCCTTCGCCCCCTTCTTCCTCCTCCTCAAGCTGGACTGCTCGCCATAGCCAGGCGGAGCTCCAGCTGCCCTTCACCTCCAAGCAGCGCTGTACCAGTCCAGCGYTGTGCTCCAGCAGCATGTCGCCAATCCTTGCACACCGSAAATGAGGAGGAGCTACTTGCTCCTCCGAAAGATATAGCGGCCTACTGGCCTCCTGGGCGGTGACTTCCTAGGYCGAGCGGCCTCCCAGCRAYCGGTACCTCCTCCCTTTCRGAGGGAAACATCATTGCAGGCTCTGCTAACCTCCGGACAGGCCCTAGACCCGGGCTACTTGGACTGGTACCGGCCTACCTCTAACCTACCGCTACTGGGCCTCTAAAAATGCCAACTTTTTGTCTTCTTCTGCTCGGCCTCCAGTACCCGATACTTCTACCACTACTTCAGTGGTACCGGCCTACCTGCTGCTTGAGTGTTTTTCCCCTCTGGTCTAAGTGCCGCGGGCCTACCCCCGCTACTCGAGTGTTTTCCCCCCTGCAACCGCATCTAGGCAGCCACCCAGCCTCTGAGTGTTTGCAGCTTTCTCATTGGCTCGCGGCACATGTGTGAGGAAAATGCTGCTTCCTCATTGGCCCGTAACCAGTCCGTGATGTGTCGGCCTCACACAGCATGTGCCCAGGGCGCAACCACCGGAGCCCTGGGCTCAACTGTACAGTGCTTGCTTCTGGAAAGAGCCTGGGGGTTCACGTTGCTCTGTAACCAACTGGCATGCTGCAACTGTCCGAGTACCCACATATGGAAAAATGTCGAAAACAGGCCCCACGTGGACATTCAGGCCCGCCTTCACTTAGGGCGGGCACGGGCTTGCTAGGGCCCGCGGCCCAGAACACTTATGTCTGATGAGGGCCCCATGAGGGTTCATTCCTTGCACAGCTGAAAAAAAAAGCAAAAGCAGGACTCTCCACACCACGGCCCTCGGCCTACAAAAAACCTGACCTGCCAGTAGAGCCGTGTTTTTATTGGCTTCTTTTAACTCGGTGCGTGACTGACCCACTGGTACGTGTTTCTTGTGCCCATTTGAAACTCGATCGTGACTCAAAAGTACTTGCCCCTTTTCTTTTCCTGGAGTTAGTGTATTTTTCTCAGTACCACAGAGAGGTGTTTGTGTATGTGTGTGTGTGTGTGGGAAGGGGGGGGGGRGGGGAGGGGGAGTGCATGCATTTGTGCGTGCAGCATAAGTCCCATTCAGCCACTGGTATCGACGATCCTCATCATTTTTTTCCTGATATGCTTCGCTGCCCGGTCCTAAAGAAATGCGAGCCGTCACAGCTAATGGTTCGCTTGACGATGTTAACCTTTTCTCTCACACAGTACCACGCCTATCCGCGGTGGCATGTTTTTTTTTTTTTTTTTTTCCTCTCTTTTTAAACAGAACCTTATGGTTCTGGCTCCTTTTCCATTCTTTGGATCGTCAGTACGCAGTGGCATATCACGGTGGCATGTTAATTGGTGGGTGCATGCAAAATAGCTCACCCAGGTACTGGTGGTTCAAGGACACACTGATGAATATCACCCACAGACCAGAAGTGTGAGCATAACACACACACACAAAACAAGAAACACTGAAACAGTATAATACTCTGTGTGTTTTCTTAGGCTGGAAAGGGAATTGCTCCACACACACACACACACACACACACACACACACACACACACACACACACACACACACACACACAGAGAGAGAGAGAGAGAGAGAGAGAGAGA